GATTTGATCCATCATCGTGGTAAACCAGTTGACTAAAGGATTCCAAACCTCTTAGAGCACCCCAAACTGTCTTGGCTTGTAGGATTGCTTGACTTGAATTTTTTGGGATAACCAGTGTGTACGATTCATCGTCACCCAATTGAGGATAGTCACACTCTTGAGGATTATCAACTCTAACCATTAAAGATCGTAACTCAGGTCTATCCGAGAAGCCAACTGTTGATACGTTGAAATCTTGAAAAATGATGGGTCGATAGCGAGTTAAAGATGCATCAAGAATATCACAGAATCGTCCATTTGTAGTGAAATAAAACTCCATTGGATTTAAAAAGAGTGTTTTCTCTGTTTGGTTTAGCTGTTTTGGTAATGGCCATGGTGTTCCTGGTGCTGGTCGATTGCCCTGTAAATTGAATCGTACAAAAAATAAAAAATAAAAGCTGATAGTTGAAAAATAAGCTGTCAATGGGCAAGCAGAAGATCTTTTGTCATATCGTCTGCAAAGTTTAAATCAAAGAGTCTTTTACGCTACTTTTACCTGCATAATCAACAATTTAATTTCATTCAATAGTTAATTAAATGAAGGAAATTGACAGCTGTGACAATCAAAAATCTGGTAACAATGAATGGATAATAAGTTTGCTTACCTGAAGAGGAACTCGAGCTTCAATCCAAGTAATGTAAGAATGGACAGTTGTTGAGCATAAAAGAAGCAAATTGATTAATAATATAATCATAATGTTGATTAGTGGGAATTAATCACAACGTTGGTTGAAAAGAAACAAGAATTAGAACTAAAAATTCTCAAGTCTCAAGATTCTGTGAATTAGAGAAAAAGCTTACATGAGACTTTGAGTTCGAGAGAGAAAGTGATTTCTATAAGATGAGAGTGAGTGGATTATGAGTAAGAGTGAAAGAGAGAAGGCAATATTTTACTGGTTAAACAAGTTAAAGTTGAGACGAGAAGATGACGGTTTGAAGATGGGCTTGTCCAGTCAATTTGTGTGCTAATGGCCAGTCAACCTTATTTTAGCTTTAACTAGAGGGTCTTCAGGTTAACAAGGTTGAGATGGAAAGTGATGAAGATAAGAGTAACCATTTCTCTATGATCGGTGATGTTGATGATGGCAAATAAGAGTGGGAAAAGATGAAGAAAAGGTTATTCCCCGTTCCAGGTTGACCGATAAGGTTGATACAATTAATCATCCTCCATCTTTCCATTTGTTTTTCAGGGCACTTTTCAACCTTTCAGACTCCTTTGAAGTTATAAACATATATAGAGACTTCAATGGATTCAATAACCTTTAATGCGTAATGAACCAGCTCTAGACTCGGTTGGGCTAAACTTTAATTAATATGTTCCCACGTAACTCCTAAATTGTGACCGATTGTTGAAAAACAACTAGAATTTTAAATTACCAATAGACTGCATTTTTTCCTAACCCAACTCAATCTCAGTCCATAATTGATCAGCAATGATTTTGGCTAATTACGGTTATACAAGCTTTTGAACAGTTTTCACGTGTTGATGATCTCAATTTGGGTGTAAATATGATCTTTAATTATTTACAGATTATCTCTCAAAGTTGAATGAATTTATGATATCATATGATAAAACAGACAATTGTCCCGTTGAATGAAATTACGTATGAAAATGCTATTTGAATGTAAATGATTGCAATTTTTTGATGATTGTCGAGGAAAATTTATTAATAAATTGACGACTAATCAACCATTTAAAGGCTAAAAATATTCAATATCAATCGACCAAAAAGCTGTGGGAAGAAGCGTAATGAACTTAACTACAGTCCATCAAATGATGATATTACTGGTTTACCCACTAAACCAGTATCTTGACCAAGATTTCAGTAGTTAATTAATAAAAATATTAACATCAATAGTTTATAAATGTGGATTGTTTATAGCAAGGTTTATTATTGAACAATATTGTTGATAAAATTGATAAAATTATTGTCTATTTACAATTATTTAATTTCAAATCTATTTCACATGATTCTTGATCGCATGTTTTTATTGTTGTTTGGGTTTTTATTGCTTAATGTTTTTATTATCATTATTTTATTATTTTTACTAATGATGATGAATAGTTTAGTGATGGTGGAGGTGATCAGGATGGTAGCAAGTAAAAAGTGCTAGAAGATGAAAGTAAATGATTTGCATTGTGATAGATTGTTGAATGTGAAGTGGCGCAAAATTTCAGCTAAGGTGATAATTATGACTTGATTTAATTGCACCTTCTGTACAATTGAAAGATTGGAGTGAATGAGATGATTGGAGTTACAATGGAAAGTTGATGCATCAAATAAGGAAGAATGTTTATCTATCTCTGAAGATTATCATAACTTCGACAAGGCAAATGACAAATCTTCCGGGTTATTTGCGTCTACTTGGGAAAATGAAGAGAACAAGATTAAAAATTGAAAGTAATACAATTATAATCAACTTACTAAAGGCTCAAATTCCTTATGAGACACCAAATGAAATTCAACGACCAAACAATAAAAGTGCTCGTAGCAAGTATTGACATGAGCTTCAGCACCAATCGATCAAAATGGTGAATATATTCACAGGCAACAGCTCTGAATAATCGAGTCAATATTTTTTTGCAGATTTGGGCAAAATTTTCAAGGAGAATGTTCATCTATTAAAAGAAGAAACAAAAACAAAATTAGTATTCATAACGAAACCAAAGGGTGTGATTAAGATTCATAAGCCGCACTTGTAATCATTGGCAATGTGAATTGGGATCGACGGATACCGGCTGGTTCAGTACCATTTACACTGTAAATTTTACAGATCGTCACAAACAGTCAGTGCCATCTATCGATTGTTTTGTGCACTTTTCATTTTTCAGATTATGATCAGGATTTATGCTCACGCAAAGTGGGTTCACGTGAGGAATACTCCTCTTGTTTTCTTGTGCAGTTTGCTTGTGCAGTTTGTGTTGATTGCTTGTTTATTTTAGTTTACTAGTGTAGTTTGCTAACCATTCAATGGTTTACTTCAACAAATCCTCAGTATTTCTGTTATCCTCTATGGTCAATCTAACAAAGCCATGTCTTCTCCCACGGTAAAGGCTCCATTATTACATGTTAATAATGATGCTCGAACAAACCAACCTAGTCGAGTGGCCGCTCGACTCAAAACCGCTATTTTGTCCCTGGTTGAACCCAATCCCATAATATGTGGAGACTGTGGAATACCCATTGACGAATCGAATGATTCAACTAGATCTGAATCCCTTTTCTCGACCAGCTTACAGGTTTGCATTGCATTTACCTTAGCTGGGTTTGGTAACGTTGGTGCTGGTCTCATCCTTGACATTGTTCAACATTGGCCCGTTTTCAAAGTAATTAGCGAACTCTTCATCCTAGTTCCATCACTTTTAGGTCTTAAGGGCAACTTAGAAATGACCATGGCTGCTCGTTTATCAACACAAGCAAACTTGGGCAACATGAAAGATTA